TTTATTGTAAACTGGATTACCGTGACAGAGTTTATTGTAGACTGAATTACCGTGACAGAGTTTATTATAGACTAGATTACCGTGACAGAGTTTATCGTAAACTGGATTACCGTGACAGAGTTTATTGTAGACTGTATTTCCGTGAAAGAGTTTATTGTAGACTGGATTACCGTGACAGGGTTTATTGTAAACTGGATTACCGTTACAGGGTTTATTGTAGACTGGATTACCGTGACAGAGTTTATTGTAGACTGGATTACCTTGACAGAGTTTATTGTAGACTGGATTACAGTGACAGAGTTTATTGTAGACTGTATTACCGTGACAGAGTTTATTGTAAACTGGATTACCGTGACAGAGTTTATTGTAGACTGGATTACCTTGACAGAGTTTATTGTAGACTGGATTACCGTGAAAGAGATTATTGTAGACAGTATTACCGTGACAGAGTTTATTGTAGACTGTATTTCCGTGACAGAGTTTATTGTAGACTGTATTACCGTGACAGAGTTTATTGTAGACTGGATTACCGTGACAGATTTTATTGTAGACTGTATTACCGTGACAGAGTTTATTGTAGACTGGATTACCGTGACAGAGTTTATCGTAAAATGGATCACCGTGACAGAGTTTATTGTAGACTGGATTACCGTGACAGAGTGTATTGTAGACTGAATTACCATGACAGAGTTTATTGTAGACTGTATTACCGTGACAGTGTTTATTGTAGACTGTATTTCCGTGACAGAGTTTATCGTAGACTGGATTACCGTGACAGAGTTTGTTGTAGACTGTTTACCGTGACAGAGTTTATTGTAGACTGTATTACCGTGACGGTAACTGTGACAGAGTTTATTGTAGACTGTATTAACGTGACAAATTACTTTTATAATCAGTCATTTCCGTTTAAAGATATTTCTGTTCTCTCTTTTTCCTCTAGATTCGAACAAAATTTTACAAAACCAACATAAACATTCGTAGGTAGTCTTTCTTGTTGGTTCGAGGTTGATGCCATATTTTGAAGGTAATTAATGATTACCATTTCCTTGACGTGAGTCGCTATTGTTTTGGTAATTGACTTGGTCTCGCTCGGTCTACTTTACGAATTTAGTGTAGAAAACATCTTTGTTTCGCGATGCTGAGATGGGTTTGTCATCACATAGGTATGTGGGATACGTCATAGAGACACACTAATTCGTCCGATTGAGATCCTGCTTGTATACCGTGCCAAGAAAATGCCACAATGTTCATTTCGGTAGTTATTTTGGGCGGCGTTAAAAAACAAAGAACGTAAACCAGAATAGACCGCCGTGGTTTATTCATTATTATATTCAGAGCTGCCTTGATGAGTTAGAAACGCACGCGCTAATGCTTCAGATTGCACGTGGTAATGATGTTTGCAGATTTAGAGTGGAAAAACCCCGAAACAATCGAAGCGCCGACAACAGACGAAATGGAAATCATCTAAATGGGAATTGCGTATTCAACGTTGCCCTTGTCGACCACGTGTTAATTCACTTCCGTGATGTTATACTAGCGGTATTTTCTACTTTCTGTTTGTCTGTATAGACTAGAATCAGCTCCCTCCCCTTTCTGACTCTCCCATACTCAAATACATATTTTATGTAAAATAGATTCGACAAATATTTTGCGTGCTTAAATTACAGTTGTGTCTGTATTTGAATGCTTGATATTGATATAATTATCATAATTATATGACGTCATCAATACGTTGTCTCGACCCGCAACATTTGGAACACATCAGGACTTCCAGTGTTTTTCTCTGGAAGAGAACCGCTAAAAGGAGTCCGGATGCACTCGCAAAAGTATCTGACTCGAAATAAACAATGAGTTGATGTTTGAAGATAGCGTTGAGGATTTGTTATATGTAGGTGCCGCTGACAGATGCTGCTGACAGCTAACATACGTTTGTACAGTACCTACACCCTATTTGTTTATCCGATAGATACAAATACATGGTGCCGGCGACAGTCCGATGTTCTCGTCCCTAAAAATAGCATCACGATTTTCCTTTCAAATTAAACATAACGTTTTTGTTGCAGCCCAGATTATTTTGCAGTTTTCTCTCATTTTGTTTCAGATGCCATTGAACAATTTCCATTTTTTGAACGATGTTTGATGTGTGCTTATTGCTTTCATTTTTACTGTATTAAACACATATCAAAACTAATTGAAAACTTTCTTGCATATGAGAAACAGGAAAACACTATTAAACTGTCAAGTAACCGTTTTCAAAACATCCTAATACAAGTTGTTTAAATTGGTGAATTTCAGGGCGAATCAACCTACCCTCCTGAAATGTTTTGTCTTCCGTAATTGCATGTTAAGGAATTAGTAAAATAACGATCTCACATAATAATGAAAATAATAATGAATTTGTTAATTGCGGGTTTCTCCGATCTCACGGGACCCTTTTATATACAAAAAGAACCATGTAGCAATGTTCAAAGCTATATTTTGGTAGCGCTATAGTTCTTAACAGAATAGAAGAAAGAATGAAATATCTCGAACGTTATGATTATGACGTCACAATTATAGTGGTGTAATGGTCATCAGTCCATATGTATGGTCTCATAAATCGCAACTGACATTAGCAGGTTTCTACAGAGGCAATGCAGAGCGCCTGTAAATGGTTGACATAAGATGTGGTCGTGAGGGGTGCAACAAGTTCCGTGTTCCCCGAGACCTGTGTTCATGAAACTGTTCTCATGCTCAAGCATTGGTTTTATGCTCAAGCCTAAGTTCTTGTTGCGGTTGTAACTTAATAACAAAATCTTATTCTGTCAATGATTTTAGAATAATAATGAAGAGAATTAAAACCGAATACTGGTTTCAAAGTTCACATTTGACTTTTTGATCGTTTTACATTATTTCATTGAGTTAATTACAAGAAAGTCGGTTTGAGCAAATAATCCGTGCTTGAGCATGATAACAGTTTCATGATTACGGGCCCCGGTTTACACGTAGTTTAGTTTCCACGAATTTGCATTCCTCCAAATTGATGAAATGAGGTTGAATATCAGATTTATAAAAACGCAATCTGACACCTCAGAGCATTATTTCACGAGGTCGTTAGCAATAACAGTGAAAGCAATGCCGAAAATGAATCTTGACGTTACATTACTGTGACTTATTTTTGGCATGTAATCTTATTTCGATATATCACTGTAATATATGAATAATAACCGAATGATTATAGCTCCGCCTGGTAACACAATGCACGGCATTTTTTTATTTGCCAGGTGAAATATGGAACCTTTCATTGTATACCAAAAATCGTGTGTCTGTAGGTCTATATCTGATGTAGATAAACATTCAGGTATTAAATATTGTCACTTCAGATACAATGTACGTGTTTGGTATGAAATATCACGGGTTAGTTTGCATTTCAGTGTTTTGTATTAAGGTCAAATCCTCTGATACATTGTAAATTCCGTTGGATTTCATCGGCTGTCCATGTGAGTCTAAATACATGCGTTACGCCAGAGATTACCTCAAACACGCTCGTGATTTAATATTTCATCATCAATACTTACGCGTGTAGATCACACATTTTGATGAAATATTTAGAAATGATGTAGCTCAATAGTTGAATGGATAGTACACTGAAACACGTGACGTTCTGTAGATGTTTAAGCTCTCCCTCCAATCTTCTGTTGCCTGATGTGGCGGTAGTTGTTAAACGCTCGGAAAGAGAAAAGGCTAAGGACTCCTCCTTTTTCACGTTCTCTTAGAAATAAATCTTACACTTTACAGTGTTTGTAGGTGGAATGATGTTGATACTTTGATTCACTCCTCACCTTCGTCAAATGCTGTCAAATAATCAAGACCTTAACGCCAGAATCACATCCACATATTTACCTCAGTTTCAGTTTACTTTCAATTTTCGTACAAAAGACCAAGGGAGCAATGTAGTTCTCTTTAGTATAACTCTTATATCTATGATTCGGTTATTATTTACAATGTAGAGTGTTATTGTGGACAACCATCGAGAAGATTTCTATCATTGTTTGCTGATGCAACTCTTATATGCTTTTGAAGAGTGTTTGTTTTCGATTGTGCGTTTGTATGGAATTACCCATATCTTGAAGGACCTTAATTATAATGCTTTTAGATATGTTAATCACTTCACAGAGTAATATATTGTAATTGTGATACATGTAATCAATTAGTATCAACGTACCATTATAAGTATGCATGTTTTCTCTACTATCACGCTAATCTATTAATACTTTGTAATGTACGCCTTATATATGTTTCATTATTTCTACATTACATGTATTTATATTAAATTGTAAGCGTTTGGTATGATGATACGAAGGGCGACTTCGCTTTTCGGTATGCCGCCTGCTTTCTCTTTGACATCGCTGTAGAACATGCAATTAACATATTCTGCCGATGAATAACTCAATGAAACTTAATACAACTGAAAATAAGGGGTTAGCCTCAAATAAATTCAGTGCTGCTGTCGAGGTCATTCAAATACGTCCTACGAAATTATCTCTGTAGTAACCTATTTACGAATGGCTATCTAGGAAACATCACATGAACATTCTGAATAAAATCACATTAAAAATATGCCTCTCAGAGTTCTGTGCTGCATGTTGCTGTAAGTAGGTTAAGGCAATCTTAGTCACTGTCTTAGCTAATTCACTTTCCAATGGGTACCATGACAGTACCCCAACCGAGTTCAAAGGTCAGTGTGTTGTGGTAAAGGCCAATGTCAATTTCATGACAAATGTCCCCATCGTTTTTGCGACTATTATATCCAATGCAACATTATACCAATGCTACGATGACGACGATGATGACGACGATGACGACGATGATGACGACGATGACGATGATGACGACGACGACGATGACGACGATGATGACGACGATGATGACGACGATGACGACGACGATGACGACGATGATGATAATGATTTCTTAAAGGAGATCAATGATTTATTTTGGATGTACTTTATATGTGACAGGTTACAGAAGGCACGCCCTGCTATGGTCAACTGACCCCTGGTGACGCCATCTTGGGGATCGGCCAGAACAGCACAGACAGTCTCACACATATGCAGGCACACGACCTCATCAAACAATCTGGAAACGTACTACAGCTAAGTGTTTGCAAGTGAGTATACACGTGTGGCAAGATCGATCAAATCTACAGAAGAAATAAATTCCAGGCGATTTGCGACCATAATCATTTTGCAATAATCGATTTCTAATATGAACATAAGGTGAACAAATCTGCAGCATTAAATCTTAAAACAGATCTATTTCCTTGAAAACATTCCAAGAATTTCATAGACAATTAACACAATTCGTTTACTGCAGTAAAGTTGTACAATGTGCAAGTTACATGTGGCTTTCCTTCAAATTCTGGACCTTTCATCAGGAGTCAGAAAATCAACCGACGTTTTATGTGCAATTTGTTAAATTAGTTTAAGCTCGCTCGAAAAAATATCTGAAAACGTTGCGAAATGTTTTATCATTGATAATGTCAAACAATCGATACGTTTATATTTCCCAGATGATTAACCTTTTTGTAAATAGTAAGATTATTAGAGGAGTTTATAGAGGGGAAAACCTATAGAAAAAATAACTTATGCAGATCGTCTATTTTGACAATTTGATTTTGTGAAATGTATAGTAAATATCAATACCGATTGTTGACATATAGAAGTAAATGAACTCAATTCATCGTCTTAAATAATCGATCTTCAGCTAATGAATACGAACTGTTCATCATGAATACGAACTGTTCATCATGAATACGAACTGTTCATCATCATTACATTATAGGATAACTTGTTTCTCCCACGAGGGAAACATCACAAGGGATGACATTTCAGAATGATCCCTTTACATGGAGTCACACACGTTTTATACAGAAGGTATATGCCTTCACATAACTGTGAATTACAAACCATAGCACGAATTGCAACTGTAGGACGTCTTAAAGGTTACAATAAAAACGTTTAAAAGATGCCACAAAATGCAGGACTAATTTCCACAGCATTTCATGCGTAACGAGTGAAAGCTATTGTTATGCTCTCACAGGTTAGGAAGTCTTCATTGGGGAAATATTCCTTTTTAATAGAAGTTATCTGTAGAACCATCTGTGACGTTTGGGTTTAAACCAATACATAATGTACCATGTAAAGCATAATTTCCCATTGAAAGACGACATAAATTTAAAATTTCGTGGATATTTATTCCTACACAATTAGAAATAAAAATTACACTCCACAGTTCACTTTTTTCTTTCGCAAGTTGAAATACATTGCTGGAAAAAGCTATCGTGTAATTTATCCCTACATCAATGGGCTTCTGTTTATCAAACACCAGGTCAACAAAGGAACGCTCAGAAAGGATTTTGAGCAATACATATATGTTAAAGCTGTAGGACTTCTGCATACCTATAGATCAAATAAACCTTCAAGCGTGGTTTGAATGGTCGATGTGCGATGTATCAATTAATCGATTACATACTAAACTGTGGGAGAAAGAATCTAACTATCTAACTCTCTAACTGTTTGTTTTCATTTTCTTATTTTAATTGGAAAACAACTCATCTACTCAAATACAATTTATCCTTCCAAAAGTAAGATGTACATATGTCAGTTGTCAGTGTGCATACTTAAAATCTTGTTTATTTCCCTTTTGTGTGTTGCCAGGGGTTACGGAGGGATGGACGAGAGATTAAAGAGCATTAAACCCAAGGGCCCAGTCAAGTTTGCACCATGGAAACACCAATGACGACACCATCTCAAGTCAATGATTATTTATTTTCTGACAACCGTCCATTGAAATCATCTCAAAAGTTCAATACGAACGATTGCATCATCAATAAATGTGGCTAAGTCTATAAGTCGTTTTCAAAGTGGCTAGCTTTTTTGGTGTAAATATCATCGGTTTTCACTGCAGTTAGGACTAAGGACACCGTGTGTTCAGCGAGCACAACGAACCGTGTTTACAATAAACGGAATAGGAGACAGCTCCAAACAGCAAACCATGTTACACCCTTTTCCAATGCCTAAACAAAATTCTATAAAATTATCCCACGATAACGTGCCTCGCAAGTGTAATTTCCTGTCGAAGAGTCTCGAAGACACAGATGTCATCATGACACAAACGAGATTTGATTACGTCTTCTATTTCACTAATAGGATTTGATGATCTTGTTCTGGTAACAAACGATATCTTATTATGTTGTTCACGTCAAAAACGGTATTTGATCATGTCGTCATCGTGACAAGTTATTGTTGGTAGAATACATATATAGTTTTGGCGTTAACTAAGTTATTGACTACATTGATATTGGCCTAAAATATCATGTGGTATCTGGAACGTGGTCAGGTGGTATAGCTGAACAAGGGAATATGATATATCTAGTAAGTGTTTAGCCTAACGTTAGTGACTAAAGGTGATATTCAAAACTTTATATATATATATAAGATTTCTTATTTAAAAGATAAAAAAATAAAAAAAAATGACAAAATTTACTCGAGCAATATAATAAGATTAAAGTTTCATTGTGCATAAAGACAGCGTACTTAGGTATGTTATGATATGATTTTTTTGCGATCATTTTTACTTTGTTGAACTATAACAAATATGATACCCCATTGTTTCGTTATTTCTATATAATTATTTATCGGTTTTCTTTAAGGAGTATCCCGACAATCTATTCGTGAACTATAACATGTATCTATATGTATGAACTAGAGTTTATTAATATATGTATATACAGATATAGATGTAAACATTCTACTTTTCTAATATTTTTGTACACCTGATAAGATATAGGCCCTATAAACAAACCGGAAATTGAAAAGAGTTCTTATGTTCAAACCGGAAATTGAAAAGAGTATATACGTTTAAACAGGAATTTGAAGCATGCCTGTGAATGTTATAAAAACCTTAGGAATAGCATTAAATAGGCACATCGCAATGCATGATACGATTAAATAAAGGAAAACCTGGTTAGTATTATAATATACACGGTTTCAATTACTAGAGAGGGAAAGACGGAAATGGCGAGCTAAAGCAATAGCCCTTCATACAGTTTTGATATACACGGTATAAGATTTATGAAGTGCCCCCATATTCCCAACAACAGAAAAACAAATGAAGAACATTTACATAGATAAAACTCACGTCCCTTGATATTTCTTTCACAAATTCGACATAGAAGTCTTCACTTGTTTTGTATATATGTATTGTTTCTTTGATTACGTGTCTTCAAACATATTGAAAGGATATAAACATCAGACATGCTTACATGCGCATTGTAAGTGTTACTTTGTTTAAATCAGAGTACAGACTTGGCTTTTACCAATCCCCGTGTGTAGTACTTTCAGGAAACTTGCATCTGTATTCCCAGATCATCCAACCATTGTGTTTTGTTTATTAAAACAATTGGGCCGATATGTGCAATAATAACGGTTGAGACTCATTTGCGTGCGAGCTGAGAGGACGAGAGAGTGAGACAGAGCGAACCGCCGCCAGGTGTAGCTGCGGCTGGTTACCAAGGTTACATTTCAGCAGTCAAAGGAAAGTTTGCCCTGTTATATGCAATAGCTTTTTTCTCCATTTTGTGATGTAAAATTTTATTAAAGTACATTTTTGCCTTGATGTCTTTTTGCTGTATTTTTATTATTGTGTACCTTTCAACAACAAAAATAAACATGGACCATAACAATCGTTTTAAGATCTTCATTGAAACTGTACAGATGTAAACATGTAGGTATATTTGTTTGTGTAATTAACTCATCCGCCCAATCGCTGTGGAGGTTCAAATCGGGAAAACAACTTATAGCCCGTTTAATAATGGAAAAACTAAATGTTCAGTTCCTGTTCGACTTCCGTCTTTTGCTACTATGGATAAAAAGAGACCCAAAAAAAAAAAAAAAAAAAAAAAGCTTCTTAAAGTTTTTTACTGATGATTAAATGAACATAACATGCACGTTGTACCCTATCTAACAAACAAACACCAATGTAGCTCAATAGATGTTAACTTTACACCCTTCTGGTATATGCATACCAATAGCTTGAGCTGATGCTGCATGCGATATTTACTCCAATGTTCAAAGGGAGGACCACACTAATACATCTGTTCTATATAATTCTTCTGAATAAGTGGGGATTAAATAAATTTTTATGTTCTGTTAATAATTCCCAGCAAGAAATAGTTACAAAGGTTTATTATATCTATATTGCTTATACACTTAACAATTACGCTTCATACCTGTAGCTGGATTAGAGATTACTAATTACTTCTCTTAATCGTTAAACGAATAGATATTGTTAATATTCTTCAATAAATACCATGTACTGTACATAAAAAAACATATTTAGATATATGATAAATATTGTAAATAGTCTTCAACAAATATCATATACTGTACATATGAAATATATTTAGGTATATAATAAAAATTGTTAATAGTCTTCAATAAATATCATATACTGTACATATAAAATATATTTAGGTATATAATAAAAATTGTTAATAGTCTTCAATAAATATCATATACTGTACATATAAAATATAATTAGATATAAAGTAAATGATTTACTTCCATGGTACACTCGCAAACTAATCCTCTTTCTAAAGAATGACATGTCTTATCGCGGACTATACACGTGACCAGATGGTCAGATACATACAGTGTCATCAATAGAATTACATGTCTTATCGCGGACTCTTCACGTAACCAGATAATCAGATACATACTCTGTCATCAATATATTTACATGTCTTACATGTATCGCGGACTCTAAGTCTCTAAGTCAGATATATACTGTGTCATCTAAACAATGACATGTCTTATCGCGGACTCTACACGTAACCAGATAGTCAGCTACATGCAGTGTCCTCAATAGAATGACATGTCTTATCGCGGACTCTACACGTAACCAGATAGTCAGATACATGCAGTGTCCTCAATATAATGACATGTTTTATCGCGAACTCTACACGTAACCAGATAGTCAGCTACATGCAGTGTCCTCAATAGAATGACATGTCTTATCGCGGACTCTACACGTAACCAGATAGTCAGATACATACATTGTCATCAAAAGAATTACATGTCTTATCGCGGACTCTACACGTAACCAGATAGTCAGATACATGCAGTGTCCTCAATAGAATGACATGTCTTATCGCGGACTCAACACGTAACCAGATAGTCAGATACATACAGTGTCATCAATAGAATGACATGTCTTATCGCGGACTCTACACGTAACCAGATAGTCAGATACATACAGTGTCATCAATAGAATGACATGTCTTATCGCGGACTCTACACGTAACCAGATAGTCAGATACATACAGTGTCATCAATAGAATGACATGTCTTATCGCGGACTCTACACGTAACCAGATAGTCAGATACATACAGTGTCATCAATAGAATGACATGTCTTATCGCGGACTCTACACGTAACCAGATAGTCAGATACATACAGTGTCATCAATAGAATGACATGTCTTATCGCGGACTCTACACGTAACCAGATAGTCAGATACATACAGTGTCATCAATAGAATGACATGTCTTATCGCGGACTCTACACGTAACCAGATAGTCAGATACATACAGTGTCATCAATAGAATGACATGTCTTATCGCGGACTCTACACGTAACCAGATAGTCAGATACATACAGTGTCATCAATAGAATGACATGTCTTATCGCGGACTCTACACGTAACCAGATAGTCAGATACATACAGTGTCATCAATAGAATGACATGTCTTATCGCGGACTCTACACGTAACCAGATAGTCAGATACATACAGTGTCATCAATAGAATGACATGTCTTATCGCGGACTCTACACGTAACCAGATAGTCAGATACATACAGTGTCATCAATAGAATGACATGTCTTATCGCGGACTCTACACGTAACCAGATAGTCAGATACATACAGTGTCATCAATAGAATGACATGTCTTATCGCGGACTCTACACGTAACCAGATAGTCAGATACATACAGTGTCATCAATAGAATGACATGTCTTATCGCGGACTCTACACGTAACCAGATAGTCAGATACATACAGTGTCATCAATAGAATGACATGTCTTATCGCGGACTCTACACGTAACCAGATAGTCAGATACATACAGTGTCATCAATAGAATGACATGTCTTATCGCGGACTCTACACGTAACCAGATAGTCAGATACATACAGTGTCATCAATAGAATGACATGTCTTATCGCGGACTCTACACGTAACCAGATAGTCAGATACATACAGTGTCATCAATAGAATGACATGTCTTATCGCGGACTCTACACGTAACCAGATAGTCAGATACATACAGTGTCATCAATAGAATGACATGTCTTATCGCGGACTCTACACGTAACCAGATAGTCAGATACATACAGTGTCATCAATAGAATGACATGTCTTATCGCGGACTCTACACGTAACCAGATAGTCAGATACATACAGTGTCATCAATAGAATGACATGTCTTATCGCGGACTCTACACGTAACCAGATAGTCAGATACATACAGTGTCATCAATAGAATGACATGTCTTATCGCGGACTCTACACGTAACCAGATAGTCAGATACATACAGTGTCATCAATAGAATGACATGTCTTATCGCGGACTCTACACGTAACCAGATAGTCAGATACATACAGTGTCATCAATAGAATGACATGTCTTATCGCGGACTCTACACGTAACCAGATAGTCAGATACATACAGTGTCATCAATAGAATGACATGTCTTATCGCGGACTCTACACGTAACCAGATAGTCAGATACATACAGTGTCATCAATAGAATGACATGTCTTATCGCGGACTCTACACGTAACCAGATAGTCAGATACATACAGTGTCATCAATAGAATGACATGTCTTATCGCGGACTCTACACGTAACCAGATAGTCAGATACATACAGTGTCATCAATAGAATGACATGTCTTATCGCGGACTCTACACGTAACCAGATAGTCAGATACATACAGTGTCATCAATAGAATGACATGTCTTATCGCGGACTCTACACGTAACCAGATAGTCAGATACATACAGTGTCATCAATAGAATGACATGTCTTATCGCGGACTCTACACGTAACCAGATAGTCAGATACATACAGTGTCATCAATAGAATGACATGTCTTATCGCGGACTCTACACGTAACCAGATAGTCAGATACATACAGTGTCATCAATAGAATGACATGTCTTATCGCGGACTCTACACGTAACCAGATAGTCAGATACATACAGTGTCATCAATAGAATGACATGTCTTATCGCGGACTCTACACGTAACCAGATAGTCAGATACATACAGTGTCATCAATAGAATGACATGTCTTATCGCGGACTCTACACGTAACCAGATAGTCAGATACATACAGTGTCATCAATAGAATGACATGTCTTATCGCGGACTCTACACGTAACCAGATAGTCAGATACATACAGTGTCATCAATAGAATGACATGTCTTATCGCGGACTCTACACGTAACCAGATAGTCAGATACATACAGTGTCATCAATAGAATGACATGTCTTATCGCGGACTCTACACGTAACCAGATAGTCAGATACATACAGTGTCATCAATAGAATGACATGTCTTATCGCGGACTCTACACGTAACCAGATAGTCAGATACATACAGTGTCATCAATAGAATGACATGTCTTATCGCGGACTCTACACGTAACCAGATAGTCAGATACATACAGTGTCATCAATAGAATGACATGTCTTATCGCGGACTCTACACGTAACCAGATAGTCAGATACATACAGTGTCATCAATAGAATGACATGTCTTATCGCGGACTCTACACGTAACCAGATAGTCAGATACATACAGTGTCATCAATAGAATGACATGTCTTATCGCGGACTCTACACGTAACCAGATAGTCAGATACATACATTGTCATCAAAAGAATTACATGTCTTATCGCGATCTCTACACGTAACCAGATAGTCAGATACATGCAGTGTCCTCAATAGAATGACATGTCTTATCGCGAACTCAACACGTAACCAGATAGTCAGATACATACAGTGTCATCAATAGAATGACATGTCTTATCGCGGACTCTACACGTAACCAGATAGTCAGATACATACAGTGTCATCAATAGAATGACATGTCTTATCGCGGACTCTACACGTAACCAGATAGTCAGATACATACAGTGTCATCAATAGAATGACATGTCTTATCGCGGACTCTACACGTAACCAGATAGTCAGATACATACAGTGTCATCAATAGAATGACATGTCTTATCGCGGACTCTACACGTAACCAGATAGTCAGATACATACAGTGTCATCAATAGAATGACATGTCTTATCGCGGACTCTACACGTAACCAGATAGTCAGATACATACAGTGTCATCAATAGAATGACATGTCTTATCGCGGACTCTACACGTAACCAGATAGTCAGATACATACAGTGTCATCAATAGAATGACATGTTTTATCGCGGACTCTACACGTAACCAGATAGTCAGATACATGCAGTGTCATCAATAGAATGACATGTCTTATCGCGGACTCTACACGTAACCTGATAGTCAGATACATACAGTGTCATCAATATAATGACATGTCTTATCGCGGACTCAACACGTAACCAGATAGTCAGATACATTTTGTATTGGTTCATTTCAAAATTTAGGAATTTATCGATTGAAAATTCAAAATAAAATTACTGTATTTGTAAATAACAATGAAAAGAGTCATAAACATATTTAGAACAAAAATAATAATTTTGTTCAAGCACAAAGACAACGTATATAAAGTTGTTATGATATATAAAGCATAATCATTTGCTAGTATGCTAGTTAAACAAATTCTGTTCAATCTCTTAAATTTTGTTTTCAATGAAAAGGTCACAAGCCATATTAAAGCGACATGTTATTAATAGTTCAAGAGATCAGGCATTTTCTTATCATTTACATGTAGTGCTGGGTCCGATGATCCAAATTTCGACAAAAAATCTATGCAATTAAATCGGCTTTTTTTAAGCATGCATAACGATGACAAAATATCAAATTAACATGCACTGCATAATTTTAAAAGAAGGTTAAATACATAAATATTAATGAAAGAATGTTCACTTTTAATGTTGACAGGATGTTGGGTAAACTATGTCGGGCTTTCAATAACGCTGATAATGAATACAAAACTGAAAATACTGATTTAGTTAAAATCACGCACTATATTCATGACGATTAGATGAAGTAAGGATAGAATAAAAGTACGATACTTTTTATTTGTATTTTTATCATTCTTTTCACCTATTTTCATTCCATGATCAAAATGAATTCACCGTTCACCATGAATGCAAGATTTATTTACGTTTATTTTCTTTATTTTCATTTTATTATTGCGAGATCCAATGTGTAGGTGTGTAAACCTGCCTATTGTTAACTTTTGTTGTTTATGTTGTTTAACATAGCCAACGTTTGACCTGGTATTTATTTACGTATGATTGACAGACCACTCCCCTCTAAACACGTACTACTGGAATCCGTACGGGATGTTCCTTGTTTTGCCAATAGGCTTCCTGGGATTACAGGTGTTACTGAGGGTAGTTAGGGAACGATTGATCAGCCATTTTGAATACAATAAACGATGTTAACACGAAAATCAGCGGTAAGCCAGTGTTGTTGAATAGCTTGGGTTTATAATCATTCAAAGGGGTGATTATTTAGATGGCATCAAACAGCACCTGTTACGCCTTTACATTAACGTCAAATCGATACCATACACTTTACATGGGTTGGCTCCTCTAGCGACAGGACAGGCAGCTAACAACCAGCCCTCACAGGTACGCTATTTTTCACATTTTCTTAAAATATTTTTTATTCATTACACATTTTTAAGAGTAGATACAAATAAGAGGTTTCTTTTGGATAATTTTACATAATGATCTGTAAAAGTTTCTCTGGAACCTCTTTGTACTAAATCGGACCTAAAACATATAGTTGGTTGTTTTTTTCTTGCCTACTTGCTTTTCGGAATAACTGGCGTCCTGGTATATACTACTGCGCCTACGATATTGTTGATGTGTGTTGATGCTTTGGCATATTTTGTCAATGTGTCTTGACGCTGTTGTTTTATTCAATGCTAGTTGACGTAACGATATATTTTGCCTTTTTGTATTGAAGCAGAAGTAATGTCATCTGTTTATCGATGTTGCGGTACACGTATATCCTGTTCTTGTTGGTTGAAGCTAAGGTATTTTCTGTCCCTAAGTGCTGATGTCGTAGTCAAGCAAGTCTTTATTATTTTCCCTGTTATTCGAGGAGTTGAAGTATATTGTTCTTGTGTGTAAACGTTGTGGTATATTATGTCCGTATATATTGACATTGTGGTTTCAGTTATGTGTTGACGTTTTGGCATATTTTGTTAATGGATGTTGACGCCGTAGTATATTTTGTTAATGAATATTGACGCCGTAGTATATTTTGTTTTGGTGTGTTGACGTTGTGGTATATTTTGTTAATGAATATTGACGCCGTAGTATATTTTGTTAATGAATATTGACGCCGTAGTATATTTTGTTTTGGTGTGTTAACGTTTCGGCATATTTTGTTAATGGATGTTGACGTTGTGGTGTATTTTGTTTTGGGGTGTTGACGTTTCGGCATATTTTGTTAATGGATGTTGACGCCGTAGTATATTTTGTTTTGGTGTGTTGACGTTTTGGCATATGTTGTTAATGGATGTTGACGTTGTGGTATATTTTGTTTTGGTATGTTGACGTTTTGGCATATTTTGTTAATGGATGTTGACGCCGTTGTATATTTTGTTTCGGTGTGTTGACGTTGTGGTATATGTTTCCTTTTTCCATGGACGCTTAAGTGCTTTCCCCCCTGTTTAATGACGCTGTAAGGCATGGTTACCCTGTCCTTGTTGGTTGCAGCTAAGGTATCTTCTGTCTGTAGGTGTTGACCTTATAGTCAATTTAGTCCATAGTATTGTCCTTGTATATGATACAGTGTTGCCGCCTTGGTATATTTGGTCCTCTTATATATACGGTGTGGTTTCAGTTTTCCTGACCCGTTGTGACAATTATATACTTTGTTCCTTTAAATTTAGATATAATGATATATGTTGTTCTTACGTCGAATTAATTCAAGATAATTATCTTCAAGGTTATCGTTGTTTAACATTAGAAAAAAAGTTTTCCTCGAATGTGTTTAAACTTTATGTTTTCTATCTTCTATTTGATGATTTTTTTATATATATGTTCATATATTTCGTCACTGACATACACGTAAAATATACTAAAACTGGAGTAGGGAAAAGTGTTTTTCAAATAGATTTCAATTAATTACGATATACACTGTATAATCACTAATTTTCATTTTCAATGCAGGTCACCAGCCATTTGCAATGGGGTATTCTGTCATATTTGTTTTGACTTCAATCCTCATTGTGGGGTAAGTCAGCGGCATGGTGGTTCGCTTGTATAGACAGTTGAATAATTTAAGGATTATGACGTACAATGAAAATAAAAATTGCGTTATATTTATCAAATGATTTATTAAATGAGGCAACATTAAGATAAGTCAAGCATACATTCTTTTTTAATCGTCAAAATGTACATAATTAAAAGAAAATCGTAAACCATATTTGTGTTGTATCTAACACAATCCTCAAATGTTGCTTCCCTGCAATTGTGCATCACTGGGGAAAAAATCCATTAACCTCTCTTGTATATATTTGATCTATTGGTAAACAATCAAGATGCTATCTAGCTAGTCCTATACTCTGTTATTAAATGTAAAAGGATAACGACTATATTGTTATATTTACATTTGCATGGCAATATCACTACAGCTATTTTACTTGAAAGCTGTGTCGTTGATTGGACTTTAAATGCCATGCACCATGGGACACTATTCTTAGCAATCAGCACGCAGCATTATGTGTACCAGTTATTGAACAAATTGGTGCAGACTGTCGATCAGGTGGGAATTTTAAATATTAAATATATTTTGTTTTAAAAACGTGAAAGGCGAATTATGGTGTTTGCTTGAAACTCTGTGTCATTCAAATAGATCATAAATGCCATACAAACAGTAAATACTTCCTACTAAATTTGTAAACATTTCCCCATATTGGGAGTTGAACATTTTCGTATATATAATTTTTGTCTAGTTTGATTGTGATATAAAAATTTAAGCGGTCACAAAATCTGATTATTCCATTACGCCCAGATATTTTGTTAAGGTCTTAATCGTATGAAGACTTAATATACCTGATACCGTTTACAAACGTAAGTCGCCCTGAAATACAATGTACTTGTATGTTTCTCCCAACGTAAATTCTGATGAGCAGATGTTCAGTTTCTAATCTTCAGTGGACTGGTACAGTTTTAGAGGTTTTAACCGTTCAGAACGGACACTGTAAGATAGCATAATGATTGTAACACTATATATAAGACAGGCCGTTTTTAATTATATAAATTAATTTGCAAAATTTAGAGACAGGAAAAATTACTCATCTTAAGGTGGCTCCACACTTTCGCAATTAACCAGCAAAATTCGTTGAAACTTTCATATAATTGTTATGCAACTATGTCGAGTTGATTTTATGAAAATCTAAACATTCCGATAGTTTGGGGAATTTTTTGGAAAAAATACCAAAAAATTGAATTTTGGTCAATTCTAATATTTTCCGTTTTTTTGTGTGTGTGGCATTGTTCGGAACAATAACAACAATAATAAAATGAAAAGAAGCATTTCTAATTAACCCTACAAATATTTTATTTATCGCAAAATATGTAACACATGTTACACAAAGTGTTTTTTATTGAATTTGTACGGATAAAAGTGATTATCTACAAGCTAAAAGCACCCAGGACACAAAGTTCTATACATATAGAGTGGGAAATTGAACAAAATATACACAATGGCTTTATAATTAATTTATTTTACATTTT